GCGTTTGTGCGTGTGTGTGCATGTGCGTGTATGTGTGCGTGCGCGGGTGGTGTCTGGGCTGTCTCCAGGGCACACCAATGGGAAGGACCCATCAGAAGAGAAGATGCATGGTCCAGGCTCTGTCATGGACAGACAAACAGCCTTGGACAGATGACTTCATCTGGGTCCGTTTGTTTAGCTGTCTCCAAGTAAGAGAGGGCCCCCGGGTTGTTCGGTGGGTAATGTACTCCTGTGCTCCCTGCACTGCTCCGCTCAGCAGCCCCGAGGGCCACTGCCCCCAGAACCCTCCCTAGGGCAGTTCTCTGGCCTCAGGTTCCTCAAAAGCTCAGGGCACTCCTCTGGGAGAAGTAGGACTTGGCTACCGTGGTTACTGACCCTGGAGGGGAGTGGGGGACAGGACTGTGGAAAGGCCTCCGGGACTGGGGTGGGGGACAGGACATCGCTTCCTTAGAAGCCCGGCCCTGTCTGGGGAGCTGCTGTGGACACGACTCAAGACAAGGGGCAGTGTGGGGAGCCAAAATGGACGGGCTCAGAGATGGCGCTGCTGACTTCATGGGGAAGGAAGGGGTCAGTCTCCAGGAACCATCCCCTGGCTGTCCGCCTCTAGCCTGGTTTCTGGGCTGGTGCGTGGGAGCTGAGTTTGGGAGGGGGTGGGGGGGTTACGGCCTGGACAGAAAGTTTCTCTGCTGCCCAGAAATCTTTGAACCTGTAATTGGAGCAGTCACAGCTGGTGGGCGCTGTGGACGGGAGTTGAAAAGGAACCAACCAAAGGCTCTTTCTGCTCTTTCAGCTGCAAGCTGGGAAAAACCCCGGGCAGCAGAGACCTGCCCCGATTCTCAGAAAGAGCCTGCCTTCGGTTGTAATGTTATGCAAATGGCTGGCCCTGTCCCCTGTGGTGTCTGGAGGCTGCTCGGGTGTTTGCACACGGGACCACAAAGCCAGCCCAGCCCTGACCTCTGGATGGGGGAGGAGGGGTGTGTGCCACCAGCTATGTTTGTTCAAAGCTAAGCCTCTGCAGGTGGCTGAGTCCTTTGGAGATGTGAGCTCTTTTTGGCGTTGCTGCAGGGTCAGCTCGGGGCAGATACTGCGTGGGAGGCGGCCCACCAGGGTGCAGGATGTGGCTCTGGACCCCTGGGCCATTGCTAATCTGGAACTCACGCCCACAGTTAGCAGAGAGGCCTGCAAGGTGTGGGTCTTGTCTTTCTAGGACCAGAGATGAGAGAGACCTCCATCTCCTGGGCCTGGGTGGGGTGGGTGGGGTGGGTAAACTGCTTTTGTGGGAACATGGCCACCTAAAGGCTCCTGCCGAGTCTCCTGGGCCGGCTGTGAGAAATGGCTCACCTGTCCGAATTTAAAATGACCGACTAGGAAACAGAAGTCGGCGAAAATGAGACTTTTAATAACACTCTTGAGAGTGGGCACTCGTTGTACAGGAACACATGTTGGGCAGGGAACATAGCCTATTTATTTAGTCCCTCCTCCAGTTCCTCATTGGCTGAGTACTATTTGGTCACCTATTTCCTAATAGGTCACCTAGGTCTTACTGACTCCCGTTAGGTGATTTTAAAAAATGGGCTAGGGCCTTTTCTAGTTGCCTCCACCTCCCTTTATCTAGGGCAGCGGTTCTCAACCTGTGGGTCACGGCCCCTTTGGTGGTGGAACGACCCTTTCACAGGGGTCGCCTAAGACCATCCTGCATATCAGATGTTTACATTACGATTCATAACAGTAGCAACATTACAGTTATGAAGTAGCAACGAAAATAATTTTATGGTTGGGTCACAACATGAAGGACTGTATTTAAAGGGCCAGAAGTTGAGAACCACTGGTCTAGGGCAGTGGTCGGCAAACTCATTAGTCAACAGAGCCAAATATCAACAGTACAACGATTGGAATTTCTTTTGAGAGCCAAATTTTTTAAACTTAAACTATATAGATAGGTACATAGTTATTAACTTACTTAGGGGACTCCTAAGGCTTAGGAAGAGCCACACTCAAGGGGCCAAAGAGCCGCATGTGGCTCCCGAGCTGCAGTTTGACGACCACTGTTCTAGGGGAATCATCCTAGGATATGCTATCAACCATGTGTCCCTCTCCCCACCCCTCACATCCTGTTTGCTCTGGGGAAATTCAGTAACCACCTGGCCACATACTGTTTCTTTTCTATGAAGATGAAGCATAGAGGCACGCTTCCTGCACAGCTGATGTGAGGACCTGGGGCGCCAGAGTCCAGCTGCCAGGCTTCTGCTGCCCCTCACTCTGCTCTGTCTACCTCCTTGCCCTCAGCAACCACCATTCCTGCTTCGCCACTTGGCCACCCAGCTTCATTTCCTCACCCTTCGCCACACAATGGCCATGTGGTTGAGCTCAATTCTGGGCTCTGCAGATGTTGCAGAAAACCAGAGGAAAACCAAGCGACGCTTTAGAGAAAAGGAGTGACACTGTTTATTTACGCCAGCGGACTCAGGGAATAACTTTCCAAATCTGAGTAAAGTAACATGCAGGGGGCTTCTCTTTTATATCTTTCTGGGTTCTTTGTCCCACAAATATGGATTATGCTTTCGGTCCTTTTCACGGGATTTGCGAGAAGGCCCCCAGGTGTGGGGGTCTCCAGGCCATATCTGATGGTCTGGCCTGGCGCCAGCGTTAATAATAATAACTCCCCTCCGGGGCAGTGCACTGTTCACAGTTTTATGGCCTCTGTAACAGGTTCTGCAAGACCAGTTTCTGGGAGAGAGGTAGTGACTTAACTATAGGTTATCAAGAATGTACACTGAGCTTGCTGGCATGGATTCAGATTGCTAGCTCCCCTCAAATATCAGGGTTACATTGGAATTAGCCTTTCAGCCTCCTCACAGATAGGTGCACGCCTCAGCCAGGGAGACGTGGCAGGTGACAGATTCTCTGCTCAACCAAACTTGGCTCCTAAGCCTTCGACTGGGACCCTCTGCGTCCTTCACCTGCCCGCCCTCAGCAAGAGTCCTGGTGGGTGGATGTAGCCAGACTTCCCCCTCATCCCTGCTGTTTCTCGTCGTGACTTTCCACCCACTGTCCCCCCCCACCCCCCCTTGCTCTTTGGCTCCTGTAGAGGAGGAGGAGTTTCCCTTGACCCTCACAGGACCCCTGGCTGGGCGTGAAAATTAAACTGACAAAGAATCCTCATCAGGAGAAAAGCAGTCACATTTATTTAATTTTGTAAGTTTGATGTGACGTGGGAGACTTCATAAGACTTGAAAAGAAACAGTTACCCCTGAGTACGTTGTGCTGGTTTGATGGGGAGTGGACAGTCGTGGCGGAGGATGACCGCTCAGGCAGTGATCAGGTGTACGTCATCCGGTGTCTCTGAGACTAAATTGATCTGCTCCCACATTCATGGTGGCCAGGCGTGTAAGTTCAGGGCTGGGTGACAAGTCTTTGGTTTTTGGACACAGACAGTAGGGGGGTAAGGGCATGCGCTGGGGGGTGGGAGCGGCTGGGGAGAGGTCAATGAGGGAAAAGGAGATTCATGTAATATTTAAACAATAAAGAATTTTTTTAAAAGAAATTTTTGGTTTTGCCTGGTCAACTAAGAACTGCAATAAAATCTTAGCCAGAACATAAGGTTAAATATATACATTTGATTACTTCATTACATATTCTGTTAGTAAAAGGGTGGGAAAGAAAAGAGAAATTAAGACAAGAAGGGAAAAACAAAACCATACTTTTATTCTACCCTTATACCCCTGTTAGAATGGAGTGGGGCCCTAGCCGGTTTGGCTCAGTGGATAGAGCGTCGGCTTGCGGACTCAAGGGTCCCGGGTTCGATTCCGGTCAAGGGCATGTACCTTGGTTGCAGGCACATCCCCAGTGGGGAGTGTGCAGGAGGCAGCTGATGGATGTCTCTCATCGATGTTTCTGGCTCTCTGTCCCTCTCCCTTCCTCTCTGTAAAAAAATCAATAAAATATATTTAAAAAAATTAGAATGGAGTGGGGCAGATGGGGGAGGCTCTGCCCAGGAGTGCGGTGACTGGTGGGAGGTGCTCTGTGTGGTGCTGTCCCTCAGCCCCCTCTCTGCTGTCCCCTACCCTCAGCCTCAGGCTGCAGACCTTGCTGTGCCCCATCTGGAATTCTTGATCCTGGCATAGCTAGCTCCCCCACTCCTTCCAGTCTGGCGGATGCTACTTTCTCAGTGGGGACTTCCCTGGCCCCTGGTTCCCTCTCCCATCTCTCTGCTCAGGTATGAGCTGCTGCTCTTGGGCTCCTGTGAATGGAGGACAATAATCTTATGCACTCCGCTGGTTGGTGGGCAGGGCTAAGCCACTGCTGGCATGTGACGAGTCTATATTTTTACTGCTGTTATTGTCATGTGGGGGCTGGGTGGTGCTGGGCAGGTGCCATGAGAACGTCAGACAGGAGGGATCTCCCGCTGAGACCTGGGGAAGAGAGGGTTATCTGGCCAAGGACAGGGTGGAGAGATGAAGACAGGTTGCCACCCAGCAGTGGTCGGTTTCATGACAATGGTGCACGCAGGGGCAGGATCCTGAGCGGCCACGTCAGGGATTCACTCAGGGTGGGAGGAGGATCCGTCTCAGACTCAACACAGAAAACCTGTGGTGACAGACCCTCAGAGGGGCTGGTGACTGTTTCCAAATCAAGTCATGCCGTCATTAAAGTTCACTGGATTTTCTCAAGAGCATTTTATCAATTCCGTCCCAGAAGGAAATTCTGCCCAGACCAGGCGAGGGGAAATTTTCAAGGAACTGGATGGAGCTCGAAGCATCTTCTCCAGCAGATCCAATATGTGGTCCTCCAAGCGGCAGCCTGGGGACTCACGGTCTGGCAGCCAGGATGCCCCTGCAGACCTGGTGCAGGACCGGCTGAGGTGGGCTGATAGCCGGCTGCCGTTCCACAGGCCCAGGGGCTTGCGGAAGGCACATGGGTCACAGCCCAGCCTCCAGGAGGAGGAGACTTAGACACCAGGACAAGTGCACCCTTTTGCAAAGTCCCGAGGCAAGGATACTGGAGGAAGATGATCCTGCATTGGGTGGATATGAAGGTGAGCATGGGTTCTGGATCTGAGGGGCTGGATGGTGTCGACAGTGTGCGCTCTGCTAACTAAACCGGGCTCACGACAGCCCGTGTGAATGAAGCTGAGATGCGGGAAACGCCTTGTTTTAATGGAGAAAAGGTATCCAAAGACTGAGAGTCAGGAATGTCTTGTGCTTGACCTGCTCAAGGTCCCTGAACTCTCCTCTGGGAGGGCCTGAGGACACCCCCTCACACGACATTAGAGGTGCAGTGAGGGGCAGCAGCACCTTGGAAAGGAATGTACTGTGCTTGACCTTGAAAGTGGTGGGGAGGCTGGCCTCTAGAGGGCAGAAATGAAGTGGGGTACAGAGAAATGGGCGGAGCCACGGGTCGATCTCTTTCTCTCTCAAATCAATCAAGAAAAAATATTAAAAAAAATTTTTTTTATTGATTTCAGAGAGGAAGAGAGAGGGAGGGAGAGAGAGAGAAACATCAATGATGAGAGAGAATCATTGATTGGCTGCCTCCTGCACGCCCACTACTGGGGATCAAGCCCCCAACCCGGGCATGCGCTCTTGACCAGAATTGAACCTGAGACCCTTCAGTCCGCAGGCCGATGCTCTATCCACTGAGCCAAACCAGTCAGGGCAAGAAAAAATATTTTTTTGAAAATAAATGGGTAAAGAGATGGTGGGATGATAGAGGCCATGTGGCCAGGTAGGTGTGGTCACCATGATGGTCAAGAAGAATGGTGTGGCCTCAGAGACCTTTGGCTCATTGGTCATGGAGTCACCCTTAGGACAAAACAGGGCTCTGTCAGTGGAGGTGGGGGTGGGGGTGGGGGTGGAAAGACCCCCATGTCTCAGGAACACGACTGGAACTTGACTCACAATGCAGTCACATCTCCCCTTCCAATTCCTGGACATGAGTCATTCGCATATCCGGAGCCTCTGCCAGAGGGAAAGACCTGGCGGAAATACCCAAGGCCCTGTGGTCTTCCCCTGCCTGGTCCCCCTCCCCCAACACAGGGATGTGCAGACCGGCCAGGATGGTGCGTGCACTGGGGGAGGGGACACCCCAAACTCTCAGGAACAGTTGGGCTCTGGCTCTGAGCTAATGACACTTCCCAGACTCTCTGATGCCCCCGCCCATCCACAGTCCACTGATCGGAGGGGTCAGATGAAACATGCATTTTGGGCCACAGCCCATCTCCCAATGGACACAGCGGGTATGTGAATCTATCTTGTGTTAATTTCTCCGGTTCTCAAGGCATTCGGTTTGGATGGATGCACTAAGCAGCAGGCCAATGCAATATTACCTGCAGATCCCGGCAAAGACTCAGGTGAGAAGCCCAGTGGAGGCCCGGGGGCTCCCTCCTATATCAGTAGAGGAAAAACCAGCTACTTTGACAGATAACCCCCAAATGCTAGTGACTTAAAACAATCGATGTTTATTTCATGCTCACAGAAAGTCCAGTTGGCACCTTGGGCAGGGATGGCGGCCCTCTGCTCCATCTAGTCATTCAGGGAAGGGCTGCTGTTGTTGACATGAGGAGTTAAGGTCATCCCAGGAGGGTGAGGACAGCACAAGCAGGACTGGGCAACAGGTATTTGTGGGTTGGGCCTGGGAGTGGCCCACAGCATTTCTACCCAAATCGATTCCAGAACTCCACGGCTCTACCTGGTGCAAGAGGGGGTGGGAGGTACAGATCGGCTGAGAGGGTGGTCTGCAGGGAGCTGGCAGCGGGGCATTTGCTTTCTGACGCCTTAGTTTGCTGCTGCTGACTGTGGCGACAGGAGTAACTCCCCAGGGGACCTCAGGGATAGTGTGTTTGCAATGACTCTGTAGCACTAACTTCGTGGATTCAATCCCTTTCTGCTCAAACTAGGCGTCTGCAACCTACACCCAGACCCTGGCTTTTACTGTCAGGGAGGTGAGAGGTCAAGGAAGAGGGAGGCCATAGTGCAAGGAATCTCGTGGATGGAGATGATGAGGTCAGAACTGGGATGCACAGGCAACTCATGATCAAGACACCAAAATCTTCAGTGCCTGAGAGGACGTGGTTGACCAGAGGGGCTCATTAATCACCTCTCTGTTCCTCCTGCTTTGTGCTCTGGTGTGTATGTATAATAAACGTTTTAAAATGCAGAATGTACTTTTGTTCATTTATGCATTCATTTAATACCTGTCCAGCAAAAAATCAATAAACACTTCTACAGGCTGACTGCTGTGGCTGAATAAGAAAAACAGTTTCAACAAAATAATCTAAAGCCCCTGTATTATAAAGCACTTGGAAATGCTGACAAAAGTATAATAAGCATTTTTTAAAAAAATGCATAGCTGAGCTTGAAAGAAAGCAAGGTGTATTCCCAGAGACACAAAACGAAGTGGCACCTAAAAGCAACAGTGTGAGCCCACATGGCCTTGGGGACAGTCTCAGTCCCAGGAACTTCGAGCTCGGGGTTTTAATGGCCGCACAGGAGACAAAAGACCGGCTTAGCCCCATGCAATACAAGAAGTTAGAATTTAGATTCGCACACAGTCAGGACTTTCAAAGACCCATAATTTCAGTGAGAAGCTAGAAAGACTGAGAAAAAACCCTGCTCTTCAGGAAAGAGAAATGAAAAAGATTTTGTAATGATGTCACCGCAAGATGTAAATCAAATCTCCCAAAATTCAGAAATATACATTTACCTTCAAATGGGTGTGAATTTTAAATATATATGAGGAGTGGTCTGGAATCAGTTGAAGGTTGTTGGTTGGCAGCACTGAGGCACTGCTTGAGCCAAAGATCATCTCTGGAGGAGGACAGCCCAGCACAGTCCCCCAGGATCCCACGGACGGAATGGGGCAAACATGAGATCATAATCTAAAGTCACAAAACATGGCTTGGCCGGCATGGCTCAGTGGTTGAGTGCCGACCTATGAACCAGGAGGTCATAATTCAATTCCCTGTCAGGTCACATGCCCAGGTTGTGGGATCGATCCCCAATAGGGGCATGCAGGAAGCAGCCAATCAATGAGTCTCTCTCATCGTTGATGTTTCTATGTCTCTCTCCCTCTCCCTTCCTCTCTGAAATCAATAAAAATATATTTTAAAATAAAAATAAAATCACAAAACATGGAAGTATGCTGAAGATATTCACACAGATAAAAGATGCCATTGAAAACCTGGACAAGAATGAGAAACTATCGAAAAGGATCAGAAAAAAGAGAAACAGAAAAATCTGATAGATTTGAAAAGGAACAAAAATATGTAATAACTACATTTTAATGGGCAGGTTAAATAGCAGACTAGACACAGCTGGGAATGACTGAACTAGAAGCTAGTCTGAAGGAATTACCCAGCACCCAAATAGACTAGGGCAGCGGTTCTCAGCCTGTGGGTTGCGACCCCTTTGGGGGTCGAACAACCCTTTCACAGGGGTCGCTTAAGACCATCGGAAAACACATATATAATTACATATTGTTTTTGTGATTAATCACTATGCTTTAATTATGTTCAATTTGTAACAATGAAAATACATCCTGCATATCAGATATTTACATTAGGATTCATAACAGTAGCAAAATTACAGTTATGAAGTAGCAATGAAAATAATTTTATGGTTGGGGGTCACCACAACATGAGGAACTGTATTAAAGGGTCGTGGCATTAGGAAGGTTGAGAACCACTGGACTAGGGGATGAGAACATTTTGCAGAAATTAGAATGAGAAGGCCTGATATTTTTTAAAATGTTCACTCTTTTAAAAAATGTCACACTTTATAATTTCATTAAATATATTTTAATGCTGTAGAACCGTCACCACTATTTCCAGAACTTTTTCATCATCCTAATCAGCAACTCTGTACCCCCCAAACAATAACTGCCTGGCCTCTCTGCCCCCAATCCCTGTACTTCTGTTCTCCCTTCTGTCTGCATGAATCTGTCTGGTCTAGATGCCTCTTGTAAGTAAAGTCATATGTTTGTCCTTTGTGATAGCTTATTTCACTTCACATAATGCTTTCGAGGATAATCCTTGAGGTCTAACATATTTTCAATAGGAGATACTGAGGAGACAATATTAAAGAAGATAATAGCAAACTAGCCAGGGAAGCTATTTCAAGTTGAATTTCCTAACTTCATTGTCCACATTGATAAAATGTCAATAGTCATACCTGCCTTATGGGGTTTACTGTGAGGGTTAATGAAATGATGTGTGTTTGGGACCAGGCTCCCTTAGGGGTGCTGGTTTCCTGTCCCCATTTGTAGATGGGTTAATGGTTTCTATGGCTGGGCAGCTAGTTAAGAGGAGGGAATTTCTAAGTCCCTTCTCTGCTGGCCTGGGCAAATCCTGTCTGAAGTCAGGGGAACCTCACCACCTAAGAAGAATCTCACCTCATCCCACACTCTGGAAGGTTCCATCTCCAGTGTAGGATCTATATCTTCCAAGATCTGTTTTACTTCCCCCAAATGCTCAGGACCAGTTTCTTCTATAGTCTGTAAGGCACATCTGTATTCCTCACCTGCACCCCTCCCACTCTTCCCCTTTTATATCACACTAGAGGCCCGGTGCATGAAATTCGTGCACAGGTGCAGTCCCTCGGCTTGGCTGGCGATCGAAGTGCGAGCGTCTGACGTGGAAGGGCAGGTCCCAGCTGACCTCTGGGCCCTGGGCAGCACCTGGGCCCCTGCGTGCCCCCCTCTGCCTGAGTCACGATGCCCGAGTCCCCACACGGAGATGCGGGCCAGGGCGCAGCGTGGGCCTCTGGGCCGACCAGGGGCGCCACACAGAAGCCAGGCGGGCAGCATGCGCTCCCAGCCAGCCTCCCAGACCGGCTCCTGTGTGAACTCACGAGGAGCCTGACTGGCCCCTGCTGTCCTGGTGGCTGTGGCCTGGCTCACCCAAAGAGGCCGCGGGGGTGCGGGTGGGCTCCTCACAGGTGCCCAGCACCTGATCGCGGGGACTTCCCCCGGTGCGCAAGAGCCCTGGCGTCCTGGGGTACGGTAGCAGAGGGAGTGAGAGCAAGCTTGGTGGACACCCCGCATTCTCACCACACCTCCATCCCATCATCCCCAGCCCCAGGTAGCCGGTGAGAGGTCGCACCCCCCCCCCACCCCGCCAGGTGCCACAGGAGGTTGGTCGCCACCACCCACCCCCAGTTTCCCGTCCCAGCCCAAGGCCAGACCGATTGGGCGATCAGGCCCTGCTCGCACCCGCCTTGGCCTGGAGCTGCCTGCTCACCTTCTCCACCATCCCTCCACAGTCCTGCTCTCATCAGGGCCCATGGGGCGAGCAGCACCTCCACTGCCGCCTGCTGCCTGTGTTGCGGCGCTGATGACCGCCATGCTCTGCGCCGCCCTCTGGGGGTCAGCACACGTCATAGAGAGTGGTTGAACTCCCAGTCGAGGGGTCAATTTGCATATTAGGCTTTTATTATACAGGATTTTAAAAATATATATATTTTTTATTGATTTCAGAGAGGAAGGGAGAGGGAGAGAGAGATAGAAACATCAATGATGAGAATCATTGATTGGCTGCCTCCTGCACAACCCCCTACTGGGGATCAAGCCCGCAACCTGGGCATGTGCCCTTGACCGGAATCGAACCTGGGATCCTTCAACCCATAGGCCGACACTCTATCCACTGAGCCACTGGCTAGGACTATATCACATTTTTTAAATATTGGTTTTTTATTTTATAATAAAACTTTTCTGATTAAAAAAAAAAGAAGATAATAGCAGAGAAATTCCAGATTTGATGAAAGACATAACTCCTTACAATCAGAAACCACAACAAACCCCATAGAGGACAACTAAAACTAAAACCACACCTTGACACATCATGTGAAACTGAATAATATTAAAGACAACAGGGTCTTAAAAGTAGCCAGAAACTTATACAGAAAAAAATGACAATTATAAGTAGCATTTATTTAAATGGCAACAATAGAACCCAGATGACAAAGAACAGTAAGTTAAAAATTTGGCATGTAAATGACTGTTCCTCTAGAATTGCATGATTGCTAGTTGCCTATCCTAATATCCATCTTGCCTTCTTCATTATTCACAGCAGCATGGTTTTATAGGGGCAGCAATGTGCTCACCTAAGAAAGAACCTCATTTCCTAGCCTAACTTGCACTCAGACCCAGTTCTGGCTAATGAGAGGTAAGCAGAGTCATTGGGTAAGGTTTCCAATAAGTTCCTTTAGAGAGACAGACATCTGTACATGATGCAGAGGGACTCTTTCTCAATCTGATAAAGGGAATCTACAAAAATACCTTCAGATAACATTATACTTAACGGTGAAAAAATTGAACATTTCCCCCATATGGTTGACATCAAAGCAAGGATGCTTGCTCTTACCACTTCCATATGACACTGTACTGATGGTCCTAGCCATTGCAATAAGGCAAGAAAAAGAAATAAAAGGAATAAAGGTTCAAAAGGAGGAAGTATTTTGGTATTTGCTGATGCCCTGATTATTTATGTAGAAAATCCAAAGGAACCTGTAAAAAATGCTACTAGAATGAAGTGAATTTAACAAGGTTATAGGCTATAAATTTTATATACAAAATCAGTGTACTTTTGTGTATTAGCAATAAACAGTTATAAAATGAAACTTGAAAAGTTTATTTGCAATAATGTGAAATAACAAAATTCTTAGAAATAAATTTAACAAAAATATGCATACTTCTAAATAAGCATACTTTTCTGCAATTCCCAAGCCAAAAAATATAACTGATATTAGAAAGTCATAACAAGGTTTAATTAAAAATACTACTTATCAAAACTTAAGGGACAGAGCTAAAGTGGCATTTGGTAATTTATAGCCTTAAGTGCTTATGGTCAGAAAAGACAAAGACTGAAAATAGAGTTAAGTGTCCATTGAAGAAACCAGAAAATGAATCATAGAAATAAAAGAAAAGGCAGAGAAAAATAAACCGATTAGAATTAAACAAATAGAAAATAGAGATGACAAACAAGATGAAAAACAGATTCTTTAGAAATTTTTCCTAGAAAAAGAAAACTTAACAAACCAGACTCAGGATGAAAAAATACCTAAATATACCGATAGACATTAATAACTAGGAGCAACAAAAAAAGTCTACCCCCAGAAAAGACCAGATCCAGTTTTATAATCAACTGAACCTTCAAGGATTCCCGCCTCCTACAAACTCATCTAGAGTTTGGGAGATGTCTGTCCTGAAGGCAGGTAGGTGTGAACAGCCTAGAACTGAAGCTTTGATTCATCCACTCAGTAAATACATGTTGAGTACCTACTGTGCACCAGGCACCATTTCAAGACCTTGGACACACTGGTAACCAAACAGGTCGAGCTCCCTCTCCACGGAGAGTCCATGTTCTGGTGGTGAGACAGATACTAAACAGGTGAGTTCCATACAGCACCTGACAGTAGGTGCTGCTGAAGACAGAGGAGTAGATGGGAGTGAGGGGGTAGGGGGTTGAGTCTACTTGGGGGAAAGAGTATCGACCGGGCAGAAAGGAAGAGCAGACAGGGAAGGCCTGACTGCAGAAGCCCCTGCCCCCATGAGTTGTTTTGGAAACCAAGGGTGTGAGGTTCGAGGAGGAGTCAGGTGAGCCAGGAAAGAAAGCTGATGGTGTCATTCCAGGGAGGATGTGGGTCTAGGCCGCTGAGGCACGAGGAGGGCAGGGCTGGAACTCAGTGAGGAAGTGGCCCCCGGAGGGTTAGAGGAGGAGGGAGGGGTGAAGGAGGGGGCACACCTGAGCTGCAGGGAAGGTCAGTTGAGACAAACACCTTGTCAGAAGAGTTGACCAGGAGGCACTTGGGGCCTCAGGGGAGGTGGAGTGAAGGCTGGAGCAGCGAGGGCCAGTGGGCAGGCTCCATCCAGGGCTGGGTTTGCCCTGTGCCAGGCACTGTTTTGGGTGTTTAGCTCACATGCGCTCCCCAAGGCCCTAGGAAGCTTGTTTGTGGTGGGAGAATGTGGGGAAGAAGTAGGGAACAACGATCTTTCTGGGACCCTGGTCCTGAAGGAAGGAGGGAGGCCATGGTCAGGTGAATCCTCACCTTCAAGGACAGAGGCAAGGGAGGCAAGGGGGCAGGGCTGGGCCAGGCAAAGGTGGACCTACTGAGGCAGGTGGACAGGAGCCTGGGTCGTCTAGTCTCAACAAAATAAAGAGCACAAACGCCCGCGTCCTTGGCTTCCGTGTCTGCAGACCCACCACACGGCAGGCACAGAGGCCCTGATGTGGGTGCAGGGCTTCTGGGGGTGCTGTTTTTGCTGCTGCGGGTGGTGGGGGAGCCGGGGAGTGTGGGCCTGGATTTCATGCGTATGTGCCATCCTGTGGGCCATGCTCTTTGCGGAGCCAGCACTGTATGAGGCTCTGGTATCACCCTGGGCTGAGCCGGGCCAAGCGGAGACCATGAATCCGATGGAGGGTCTCTCCCAAGGGGCTGGGCATCGGTGCACAGGGCTCGGGTAGGGAGGCCTGGGGAGGCAGGAAGGGCCCTGTGAGGTCCAGGCTGGGTGGGCAGGTGGGTATGTGGCCATCAGGCAGGTTTGCAGGGAGTTGGTGAAGGACTAGGACTGCTCCGAGTCTGGGTGGGGGAGAGGCACAGCCTCCTCCTGGCATCTGTCAGGGACTTCGGCGAGCTTGTCCATGGCCTTGCAGTGGCCACAATGGGAGGAGCCGCTGGGAGCAAAGGCAGGTGGAGGTGGTGGTGGTATGGATGGGGGGTGGCAGGGCCGCTCTGGGTGGGCATGGAGTTGGGGGCCGGGGTGACTGGGGAGGGGGGAAGCGGGAAGGGCAGGAAGATGGTGGAGACACAGAGCACCGGACGCAGTCGTTTCCTCTCTCCAGGGCTGGGCCAGGAAACCCAAACTCTCATGCTTCCCAAGGTGCTTCCTGCAGATAAGTGGGCTTCCAACCGCCCCTTCCTGCTCCCCGCTTTCCCCACCCCTCCCATCCTGCTCCAGTCCCCAGGGGACCCTCAGCTCCCTCACTCAGGCCAGGCCAGTGGCCTTGGGAAGAGCCTGGACAGGGAGGTGGGAGGTCTGGGCATTCCCGGCAGGGAGTGTCTGCTGAGAAAGCGGGACAGACAGACCCACAGTCAGCGCTGGAGGCTCGGCTCTGTGGGGTCAGTGGATCCTGGGGGACAGAGATGTTCCCTAAAGTAGGGTGGATGGGGGTGGAGTGAGCCAGGGCTCCCTCAGGGGGTAGAGCTGGCCCTTGGGAAGCGGCCCCTGCCCTGGGGAGGAGGGGGACCAGAGGCTGCCCTGGAGGCAGAGGGATGGGCACGGGTGGTGTGGTGGGAGGCCCTGGTGGTGGTGGCGGCTCTGTGGGGAGCCCGCGGTTCTTGGAGGGAATGTCAAACACTTCCGCGTGGGGTGAGGGTGTTTCCAGGTTGCCATGGGGAGGGCCCGGGAGGTGTTCTGTGTGGGTTCATTCAAGTGTATTCCTGGGAGCCCAGGGAATCCAGGGCTGCGCCTGGGGAAGGCGGGGGCGGCGAGGTCAGCGCGTTTTCTCCAGGCGCCAGGGTGCCCCACGTTGGCCGGGCTGTGAGGGCTCACAGGTGTGCGCTGTGAGGTTCGCTGTGTGCCTTCCCAGAGGGTGCGCGGCTCTGCTGGGAGGGGCAGGGCCGTGTTTGGGGGGAGTTCTGGGGGAGTCAGGAGGTATTTCTCTGGGGTTTAGGGATGTTGCGACGTTTAGTGGCGGCTGCTCCCAGAGCCCTGGGGGGCAGCGTTTGGACGCCCTGGGGCAGTTCCGTCGGCCCCGCGGGTGGGGGGGGGCCGGGCAGGCTCCGCGGGGTGGCGGAGCCAGAGCTAGTTCTTCCCTGCGCTCCCCTCTCCTCCACCCACTCGCCACCCCTCCTGCGTTGCCACGACAACGGGTAAAACTAAAATTCTCTTCCTGCCGCAGGTGGAGTCTAGTAGCGCCCCCTCCCCTAAACCCTTCCTCATAGGTCGCGCCCCCCATCCTGCCGTCGCTAAGGTGACGGGGAGGGGGCGTCGGGCGTTGGATCTGGGCGAACCTGGGGCCTGGAGGGGGTGGGGAGGCAAGGCGGGCCTCCGAGTCCGGAGCGAGCTCCCCAAACTCCCGGAGAGCCGCGCGGAACGCGGTGGCCGCGAGGTGGCCTGGCTCAGGGGGCGCACAGGCTCGACCCCGCCCGAGGTCCCCACCGTCGGACCCGGGCCTGGGGCAGGCTCCGCACCTGTCAGTCCCCGGCCTCCGGGGGGGGGGGGGTGGGGTCCGGCGGGGAGGTCGGGAGAGTGGGGCGCAACCGCTCCCGGACACTAATCCCCGATTTTCTCTCCTCCCGCCCGCCCTCGTCCCGGTGCCCCTCCCCAGCTCCAGGACCCTCCTCGCCGCCTCTCCCGCCAGGTCCGCGGAGGCTCGGCGCAGCCGGAGCCACTCCCAACGCCCAGGCCCAGGGCGCCCGCACTCGGCAGCCCCCAGGGTCCCCGCCCGCCGGTGCCCCCTCCGCACCAACCCTCCCACCTCACCCAGGACCCTCCCAGGCGCCCCGCCCCGCCCCGAGGGCCGCTCAGTTGATTTCCCGGGATTCTGATTGACCCGACAGTTAGCCTGAAAGAGATGTTGGGGTGACGAGGAAGGGGGCGCCCTGCTTACATCTGGGGACATATTGGAGTGTGACTTTACCAGGTGTAAGGTCCTCTGCTAGCTTTGACACTCTCCGCCTCTGCCTCTGGACAGGTTGCTCGAGTTCTTTTGGAAAGATTTTTAGTTACATAAGCGACATACAGATGCTCGATTTCTCCTGTAATTGCATAAAACGATATAAGGAACTCCCCCTCGATTGCTGCTGCCTACTCCTAGAGCACCAATGTGGACATTTAGATAAATGTTACCAAATATGACTCCTTGCATA